CATTCAATCAAATCCAACAATTACATGCACTCCTTAGTGCGAGGAATGTCAATTGGAAACAGTGATGGGGAAATAGAAAGTTAATTGAGGGATTAATTAAGGGTAATTAAACATTTTATTCATAATTTTATATCTTATCATACGATTAAAATCATGCATGGTGCTATACATAAAGTTGATCGATTAGACGTGTAGAGTTTTATAAAATTGATTCAGTTGAATTCTGAGAGATGCGAAATTTATGGTGTATTTTAAAATTGCCAAAATTTTACTTCTTTCTTAAAATTGGATGTTACACACAATGAAAAATGTGTGGCCTTGCATAAGCACAAATATAAGAGCAAACACTTGTGCAAGCACACAGACAAGCATGAGCCAACAAGTCGAGTGTTAGGGCACAAATCACGCATGAATGCAGCAGAGACGCTAAGGAGCCCACATGAATAGTTGACAGAACCAAGCAATCAAAATGTTAGAGATTGTGAGTATAAGGAGCACCACCAACTACAATAAGCACAAAGAAGAGTGCAAAGGGTGTGCACTAGATTAAGAATGATGAAACAAAACTACGAATGACAAGTGATGTTTTCAGTTCCTTACTGAACATTGGTGAGAATTAGGGTTTTTAGTTTTTTACCATCTATGGTTTAAACCATGAAAACGAACAGAATGAGAAAATGCAACATTGTTCTAGGATTTATGTTGGAAGCAGTTATCTTGATGTGGACATAGCGGATGCAATGGAAGTGGGCTATTGGTCGAGTCATGTTATCTGGAGGTGATTTTAAAACGTAGGGAAAATATGGGTTTGAGTTAATTTTAAATTGCTCAAATTTACTTTCTACTTTTCTGCTAGAAAAAAATATCCCAATAAAAAGTGAATTCTTCTACCAAAAGAACCACTTTTTTTAAAAACATTTACTGAACTAAATTTGCTGTAACATATCACAATATATCATGTCATTGGAATATTAAGGTTCAGCAAAGGTTTCCATCTAAAATGCGGAAACTTGGGTAACGGAAGCATGACCACCTCGTACAAAGAGCATGAACAAATTTCTGCAACAAATCAAATCGAAGTTATAAAGAAAAGTAGAAACCAATCTCAACCAGGAAAGAAAACAGTGCAATGTATAAAAATATCTTCACACAAAAAAAAGAGAAAAAAGAAGGTAGCATACCAAAAGTTGTTCTAATCTTCGAGTAACAAACTGCCATACCTATACATAATTAATGATGCAATGGTTTAAAAAACTTGACGTATATAAGCATGAATAGGAAAAATGAGAAACAACAACTTCTCACGTCTTGTATTTGGTTGTCATCAATATCTATGGGCTGCACATTTGCCACTAGCCTCAAAGAATTACTCAAGTCAAGATTCCTCTTGTTTTCTACAAGTATTTGAACCTAAACGACACAGGAAACTACTTTGTAATTACCATTCAAACAAAAACATACAATGTTCAATGACTTACAAGTCCATAACAAATTCTTCGAAGACCAAAGGGGTCAGCTGTGGAAGTAGGTTGACAGCCAGCGCCAAATAAGCCCACGAGGCTATCCAATCTGCTCCATTCATGGAACTTATTAACGTAATCTGTTAAAATCATATATAGCAAAAAATATAGAACTCATATGATTTTCTCCTCAACAAATGAAGTCAGCTAATTTTAGTTGAGGCAATTTAGCTCAGAGAGCCCAATGAGGTTTGAAGTATACATCATCCATTCTACTTAAGACAATAAATTTATTTTAATATAGATATAGAATTTGAAATCCTAACAAAATGATAAGGAAATTTCTGGCTTTTAATTTCAAAAGTAACTTGAGATTTATTATGCATAGTGGAAAAAACTTCTTAAAAACCAAGCAATTCTAACTAATTGAAAAGCCCAAAAATAGAGTGTTGGCCATCATACTTGCTCTCAAGGCATGGTTGAATGCGGCAACAATGAGAGGAAATGGCAAACAATGATTGCTGCATCACATAGATTAGGATTGAGATATGCTTTACAAATTAAAGTCATCTAATCATCGCTTATTTCCCAGAATGGATTGCGTTGGCAAATTTGAGACATCCAAATTGCGTGGGAA